CCAATCACAACACACATTGGCCCAGCTAACCAATCACAGCACACACTGGCCCAGCTAACCAATCACAACACACACTGGCCCAGCTAACCAATCACAGCACATTTAGTATTTCAGAAGGCGGGCCTTCATTTGATACAAGAACTATTCGAGCCGTTCATGCCAGACTGGGGAGAGAGGTGTTGTAATAATGTAAAATATGTGAAAAATAATCTGTTTTTCGAACAACCTAGTATGAGAGCCTGCTCTAGTACACCCCCAAAACTAAATCAAGACTTTGTAAAAGAGCATAATAGGACCCCTTTAAGCATAAAATTCTTCTTAACTGTTTTTTTTTTTCGTATTATTTTCTAATTTACGAATATTTTGTATTGCCAACGTTTTCTTAACAATGTTCTTATCTTTTCTTAAGATTGTTCTAAAAATAAGAATTTTACCTCTTGGAAAAAAAGTTCTTAAAAATTGTTGTAAATCAATTTTTAAAGTCAGGATAAATTCCAACTTAATAATGAAGTCTTAACTTATTTTAGTCATTTAAAGAGATAAAAGATTATTAGAGTAATGAGCTGTGAGTTGATCAGCGAGTCTTCAGAAAGAGCTGTCATACAGTTTGAAAAACCAAGCATCACCACCCACATCTCAGGGAAATGTTCCTGTCAGTCTGAACAAACTTAACAGCATTAACAGCCGTTTATTCAAACTAAATTGTTTACTGCATGAATTGTCACACCGAATGTTTGTCTGTGTGTGAACAGGTCTTCAGATGCTGTCTATGGTAATGGTTTATGTTTGCGCTGTGCTGTTCTTCCTAATTCCGCCAGCTTTGCGTTGATTTGCAAGATGTCCTGTTGCAATACAGGTCAAAGACCGCTTCTATCAGCTGTCCCATGTGTGTGACATCCCGTATCATCATTGAGTTATGTAGAGTTGACAAGTGGGCAGCTGGTTTAACTCTTTTACCACTGAGCCCTTCCTTGGTCTAAGGTCAGTGTGTCACTGTCTCTTCACTCTCTTTCTGTCAGTCTCTGCGTGAAGTTGACATGCTTCAGTCCACGTGGGGTTTGCGATGGCAGACCAGTGTCCTTTAAGAAGTGCAGCAGAGATCCACTGACCTTCAGTCTCTGTGCTGCCTCCCCTGCTGAACAAGAATCGATGGAGTTACTCCCTCTCTCCTCCTGGCTCAGATCCATCTCTAGGCACCAATCAGTAGCCATAATCTGTTCCTGCCCGCCGTCAGTCATGCGCGATTCAGCTTTTAGCACCCGTGATGGATATTTGAGGGTAAGTTGAGGATGTGGTCTCTTGTAGACCATAATACAAGTACCAGTGATATAAAATGAAGATTATGAATGTGATTGTTTGGTTGTCATTGTGGCCATCCGGCCATATAGCACAGATCTGACTGTGTTCATATTAGTTGAAGATCCATGCGCTATATTGAAATGCGTGTCAGGGTTGAGCCTACTTCCTCTCTTGTATTGTATTGCAGAGTCTGACATTTGACTGTCGACACGTTGCAGATTATTCTGGCAGATTAAGAACCACTTAGTTAAACTGGAAGAGGCCGTCCCAGTGACCCCATTAGCTTTTTTGCATGATGTTTGAGGCCATGAAATTAATGATACTGCAATAATATACCAACATAGTATAATAGTAGATAACAGCATTCAAATAATGTTGCGGCAGTTTCTCCAAATGGCTGTATGGACAACACTGAAGAGTCCTCCTCCCCTGACTGCTTAAGTGGGTCTCCCAACTCGCCAGCTGTTACTGGAGGTCCTGACAAAGTCCAGTGTGTTAAGATCACTGAGTTACGCCAACTCACTCTCCCACCCAATCCCTCTCTGTCCTTCTCTTCTTGTCCAGCCCTGCACACGTTCAGGACTGTATTTTGAATAGTGTGCTTCCATACTGCACTTGTTTTTGCTTTCCATTTGTAATTAGATGGGTGATTTCTTGGCTCATTATTTGACACTGCCAAATGTTAAATATGATTAAAATATGTCAGATAAAGGCAGAGAACCAAAAGTAAGGTGTTCAGAGGTTGTGGCGCTTTCCTCATTGCTCAGTTATTCAAGTGTCCTGACTATTCATTGTAGTGACGCTAGTGGTGCAGAAATGAAGCAATTCAATACAAATGTAAATTAAAAAAGCAAAACAATAGTTTGCCAAGATTTCCAATTGAACATCATGTTCCAAATTAAACATGCAATGTGGAAAGAAAGAAAAAGGAACTACATATTTTTCAGTTTATGGGACCTTTTTACTGCTGACAAGAACTGACACACAAAAAATGTGAATAACTACATAAAAACCCATTTTATACCTTCAGAATGCTGTCCTAACTGGTTAAACAGTTGTCTGAACAAAGAATTTCAAATTGAACAATATTTCTGAAATGTTAAGGGTTTATGAGTTCCCAGCATTAATAAATTACACAGTTACTATAACAGAATTATTGTTTTGCAGTTTAGTGACTTTTGTTGAACCTTTTTTTGTTGTTGTTGTTCTTGATTTGTCATTATTGTTATATATATATATATATATATATATATATATATATATATATAAAACAATGTTTAGGTTCAGTAATTTTACTCTAATGGCAATGTATTGTGTGTGTGTGTGTATACATGTTGTAGCTTTCTACTGTGTGAAATAATACCTACGGTTTCACTTATTTTTCACAAATAGTTGGCAGTATATACTGCACAGTGTTCAGTAATTTGTAACTAACACACACACATTCAAGGGGGGCTCCCATCCACAGGCCTGTCAAGCCCAGCCATGAGTGGAAAGTCAGTTTTGCCCATATGGCATATGGCGTCTCACTGCTGCCTCTTTATATGAAATACTCAAGTATTCTCCCACCCACCCAGCCACCCACCCTCTCTCTCTCTAACACTGAATGACTCATAGCATTACTCTTCTCTATCTCTCTCTCTCTCTCTCTACCCCTCCTGCTGCTCTTGATGCCTGGAACAAAGAGTAGTGACACACACACACACACACACACACACAGATGCCCGTGAGGGATTTTCTCTTATGGTAAAGCCAGGACTTAAACACAGGTCAGTAAACAACTCCGTGACAGC